GCTCAGGGGCTGCTTCAGGGCGGTTTTTCCTTTCCCAGAGCAGTTGCCTCCGGTAGCGTCTTGTCCCATCTGTAAATTTGTTTCTCGCATGGGCTTTATCCACCCTAGGTTTGTTTCTGGCATTCCTTCTTGTATAAAGAGGGTTCCCAGGATCACAAGTAAATAAAAAACCCCAGAGGAATTAAAAAAAAAGGATATAGGGCTTTTATAGATCACTCGGCAAACGTTTTGAGCAATGCCCATTGCTGTAGATACAGGTAAGGCATTCAGGCAGATTTAAGCACAAAATATCAAGTGTAAGTGCCAACATAATGTATATACACTAGTATGAAAGAGCTAGATAATTCCAAAGGAGCTTGAGCTCACAAAAGTCACAGTAATGTGTAAGGAAAAACAATGAATCGCTTTCCCCCCCCCCTTTTTTTTTAAGATTTAGCATTATTGAGTTCACCTTGCTTAACTAACGCACAGGTTACCTTCTCTGAACCTGTTCCCAAGACTCACGTTTCATTTGAAACAATTTCCTGAAGTTCTGTGAAATGGGGCTGCTTCTTTCCAACACGGAAAAAACATGCAACTTATCTGGCTGCTACGAAAACTTTTGTCCTACGCAGGTTACGACCGATACTACAATAAATACATCAATGTCAAGAAAGGGGGCCTCGGCGGTATCTCCATGTTGCTTGCTGGTTATGTTGTTGTCAGCTACATCTGGAGCTACAGTCATCTGAGTAAGTACAAGCAGCACGGCCGAGTGCGTGTAGTGCAGCTTGGAAGGTTGCTTGAGGCAACAAAACCAATCTGCTGCTCCTTCTAGAAATAAAATGAAAGACTGCTAACCAATGCTGCAAACTTTTTTTAGCCATACAGAACTTAAATGCTTTTAGTAAGTTACTAGATGGCCAATATTTTCTTAGTGATCTTGTTGCCTGACAGTACTTAGAACCTACATGCTCAGATTATTTTTTTTAGAGTGCATTCTTGTAATTTCAGGTATGGTGTTGCTTTTTTTCTCTCGTGTCTTCAGTAAAAATTAACTTGCTTTGCTTTGAACGGTACAGAGCATGATCGGCACAGGAAGTACCACTGAGACGTGAATTTCAGAAAACGAAGGTAGAGCTCTTGAACAGACTTGGCTACTGGAACAGTTACCAAGACTGAAGACGTCTGAGCTACTCATATTAAAATCTGTATTATTATGACCAATAATAAAGTGCATACACTTTACACTGACTGAGCTGATGCTCCTAACTGACATGTTAATTGTACTGTGCAAGAGAGTTTGTCTTCTTAAGAGTTTCACCCCTCAAGGATGGGGGTTTGGAGATGGTTGGGAGGGTGTCTGCTGCCTGGGTTCTGTTATTAACCAGGGAAATAATTACAGTTGATTCCCCTTTCACTGTTCAGTGAGAGTAAAAAGCAAGAGATCTCTACTTAATGGCTGTTACGTACAGGTTGGACAACTAGCTGAAAGGATGGATGTGATTTGAAAGAACAGTACCTGAGCATTAGGTGGTTTGTTGGCATGGCCACGTGTTTCTGATGTCAGGCTGACATGGGGAGCTGTAGGTTGTTTGGGCAGGTTCCCATCGTTGCAGAGCACTGAGATGATGATAACAGGTTTAAAGATGCCTGCAACTCATTCTGTCACTTCTTTCTGATAACCCTACCTATTTTCATTGCTAAAAGAAGCTAGGAAGTTACTCTGAATGGGTATAAGATTAGAAGAGTATAACAAAGCTCCATGAAATTCAACCAAAGGAGGACTTTGTTTCTTGACTTAAAGGCAACGATGAGAAGTCAGGCAGGAGACAACGTGGGCACAAGTGCACCTTAAAGGCACACGGGTGGCTCTAGCTCCAGCCGATGACCTTCCCCTGATGATGATGATGCATGTCTGATGATGCACATCCCCTGTCACAACCCTGCCTGCTGTCGCTGCAGCTGCGTGCTGCAGGTACAACTCGCACAATGCACTTCCAAAGAGGAGGAAAAACCACTTCTTAAGGGTTAAAGAAGAATCTCTCAAGAGCTTCAGTTTGGAAAAACAGCTAGGAAATTTTGGAATATCTGTTCAAGTAGAGAAGCCTGTAAACTTCTGAACAAGATGGGGAAGGGAGCAGCCCCTCAAGCATTTTAGTTCCCTGTCCGTGTGCCTCGTTACAGAGAGCTCGGCTCGGTGTCTGGCCACTGTTCAGGTTCTGGGAGCACAACTTGTTATGAGAAGTGTCTCACCATAGTCACTTAGACCCGAAACTTCTACTTTGACTGACTCCAGCTCTCCAGAGTGAAATAACCACAGTCACTCAAAAAAACACAGACTGAATTCACTTCTCTTAAACCAGTCATATTGCCTTGTTCTTAAAAAAAATAAATTCACAGCCAGTTTTTCCCATCAGTACATTTCAATAAAAACAAAGTATAAAGGCAGTCAACAAATGAGAGATGGGTTAGAATCAATAAGGCTCACGTTGTGGGTGCAATTTTTTTGTTTTTAATTCACATTTTTATCATTGGCCCTTTTGAAATAGTCTTCTCACAAAACGAATGGGTTTTGGCTTGCAAAAATTGCTCTCAGAAGAACACCACTTTTAAAGGCCATGTTCCGTAAGAATATACATCTCCACTTCTTGGTCGTCTTTAGGCTCTGGAAATACCTGCTCAGTGTGAGGTGGATGATGGGGGGGAGCTGAGATATGGCTCTTCTATTCCTACTCTTCAAGCCGTGTTCATTTCCCTCCTTGCTTTTTTGCAAATAGAAAAGGAGCACAGATGCAGCTTTCCTGCATTGTCTGGCTAACCATGGAGACACCAATTTATTCTCCCCTTGACCGGTTCTCACCCAGAAGATTAATTTCTAACCTTCAGTGTAGCAAGAAGCACAGAAACAAAGCAAGCGGATGAGAATTTTACAGCCTGATGTACGTGACACGTTAAGTCAGGCACCAGAACAAGCTTACCGACTACAACAGGCTGGACCTGGGAACACGACTTTGCTTTTTAAGAGCTACAGGACCGCAGAATCCCTGCTTCCTCACTGAAGGGAAGGCATTTCAAGTATTAGTTTTCCCAGTCAGTCTTCCTGCTTTCACAGGGAGGGCTGAAACGCTGCAGGTTCTCCAAAGAGAAGTGGGAAACACTTTAAAGGAACACTGGCGTTAAGGTGTGTTTACGTAGAGTGCTGCATCGGTGAGGGGGTTGCGGTATTTATTGGCTTTTAGATCTACCTTTCAGCAGGGCTCAATGAAAACAGGCGGAGGCCAAAATCTCTTTTAAAAAGGTTAAAACATAAAAAAAAGTTGTGGACAATTACAAAAATGTTGCTTAGCAGCAGCCAGCCTCTGACCAGTTCTTTCAGTAATGGCATTAAAAAACAACCTGATTAATAGTTCCAGATATAGTGCTAGGCAGAAACCTTTTCTCAGTGTTAACAGCTCCCTTGCACTCTTCATTCCGCTCTTTTCACTGTCCACTGAGAAAGGCCAGATGTCCTTTGGTGCATCTGTTGGCATAATGACCTTTTTCACCACACTAAAAGAGAAAAGGAGAGAGGAATTATTATACAGTTACAGCTTTTTTTTTTTTTCCTTTCCTCTAGCTGCCTTTATTAAGGTAGCTGGCAGCTATTCTGATTTGGCGGCATTTCCTCCTATGGAAGACACAGCATTTAGCAGGTGAAATGAAACACAGTGTCACAAGGGATACGATTTATGGGTTATTTCCAGTCCTTGGAGCAGAAGCTGCATCTGTGCTGGGAGCAACATGGCACCACGTTATCATAACACACTACAAAGGACAGTGCTCTCGGTGCACCGCTACGAAAAACAAAGGGCAGTAACACACAAGAATTTCAGTGTTCGAGGCTTCTGAGACTACTCCATCTGATACGCACTACATCCGAGATCTGTGGGGACTCTCCTGACCAGCTCTCCCAAATTAGACAGAGAAAAGTCCATCTGAACACCCTCTGCTTTCCCTCCTCGTCCCTCCCCTCTGAATTACCTTGTAGCAGGTGACCTGCTCCAGCGGCCGGGGTCCTCTGTTCCCACTGTTGTTATTTTGAGACTGCATGACTCCAATGACTTGGGGCGTCCTCTGTTGGTTAGGAGAAGAGTTTTGACTCGTTAAGTGCATCGAGGATAAAGATCTTTATGGTTGTTATTTTGTTGAGAAGGGAAAAGAGCACCCCATATATCAAATGATCAATTTTCCTCCAAATCTGTGTGGGTGCTCTGCCAGCTGGAGCACCAGAGAGAAGAAATCAAGCACTGAGGTTTACAAAGCCCAGAGATCCTGCTTTTCTCCGGAAAGCAGATTTAGAGAGTAGGTTTAGGCTGCTAAAATATCATTGCCATCACCAAGAGATGTCACGCTGATTACAAAAACTGGCAGACTGCCGCACAACCACGTATGATTTGTTTCTGTGTAACGTGGGAGTGTTCTGTGACTAGATCTCCACATAAACTTGGAGCAGCTGTAGGACTTTCATCACTATAACGGCCCTCGGGGCTGCTCAGTGCTTAGTTCTTGTGTCGCACCCTCCCTTCTAGGCAAGCTGTCCAAGCAACAGAACTGCCATCGCTGGCCCCTGAGCCGGAGGACAGTACTAACGACCAAGAAGGTTAACGCGAGGGGAGAAACAGAGCAAAGCAAAACACCCCAGTCCCAGGATGAAGGCAGCAGCAGTCCATTGTGATCAGGTGGTGGACATTAGAGGGCTGGGAGGAGGAGAAAGAAAGGACGGTGCTTTGCAGTTTATTAGGATTTGTCTCTAAGTTCTTAATTACAAAAGACTATCACACCCTGTTGTAAAATAGGAAAGATTTTCCTTGTTCAGTGAGTATTTCTCCAAGACTTTCCACCAAGCCAGATCCAAGAGCCTAGATTCCCAGTTTTGACCACTAGAAAATGCACCTTCTTTTAAAGCCCTTTGGGAAACACTTTGAGGGTGGGTGTGTAGGGGAGAGCAGGGGAACTGTGTACCTTTTGTTGTGTTTGTGTCGGTTGAGGCAGTGGTGGTTGCTCTGTGGTTCCCATTGGCAGTTCAAACCGAGGGCTGGTTTAGATGGAAACAAGAAAATTGATTCTCAAATCACATGCCAACATCTTACCATCAGCTCAGTCAAGTAACTCCAGGCAGCGGAACGAATACTCAGCCAATTAAATTTGTCTCACAGGAAATAGACCTCTCCCTCCCCACTTCTCTTTGTGTTCTGATGCTCAGCAATTATGTGTATGGAAACAGCAGTCCAGTAGGTAGCACAGTCCTCTAGCTGTAAACTCCTCTGGAATGTAAAACCATGTGATCTCACCGCACTGATGGCCTCCGATCACCCCTCTCAAGCCTTACGGTAACTCCCTGAAGAGGCCCTGCCCCATATCTTCATATCGGTCCAATAAACTAAACCTTGGCCAAATCTCCAAAGCCATTGGGAAGCACTGGAGCACCCTTGTTTGACATATACCGGATATCAAGGGAAACACAAGCTGACAGAACGAGCCGGGAAGCATACTCACTGCATGAATTTACAGGTAGGCCCCTCTGGACAGAATCCCACTAGGTAATTCACACAAATGACCCTTCGAGTGTGTCGGTGTCTGCAGAGCGGACCTGCAAGACAAAGCTCGGTATTTCACGTTCCACGTATACGTAATCCAGCCCTCGGGAGTAGCAGGTACACAAGCAGATCGTGCAAAGGAAGAAGAGCAACACAGTAGCCTTGATTTAGAGCCACAGAAGCAGCACCTGCGAGACGTACGTACCATGTTTACAGAAGCCTCTGTCATACCAGGGACAGTCTTTGATCTTAGACTCCGGGTCAATGTGCAAGAATGGACATTCTTTGTTACTGCATTCCCCTGTACCAACAGCAAACACATTTCTTAGTCAAGTGCTTAGGTTTGAGATTAAACGACTCTCAAAATATTACCTGGATCATGTAGCTCCCACAAAACTGTTACCAACATTTATAAGCTCAGGCACAACAGTCTTGCTGCCTGCCTTAACCTGGATGAACACTGAGGACTCGCTCCCAGTGAGTAAAGTTCCACCAGACTGGATTATTTATGTGTGCTTTTAAAAGCAATGAG